CTTTCAGTGGCTGTTGAAATGTGCTAATTTTATGCTCAGTGACCACAAGCCCATTTTGTGTTTAGAGTTGTTTTCACAGCTCTCTAGCTTCTCTCTGCACACCACCTGTTCCACCCTTCCGTTGATGAGACCCACTCCGTATTTCTAAGCAGTGGCCGTGGCTAGGCTCTGTTGTCTCCCTAGGGTGTTCGTCAGCTTTCTTCCTGTCTGCGGTTGTGCTCTGAACATATGTGAGGTCACCAGGGAAGTGAACAAAGCTGGACAAATGGGGCAATACTGTTAATTTGTATACAAGGAAACTCCACACATCCCCCCAAAGCTCTCTAGAAACACCGAATGCCTGACCTCTTCCTAATGTCAGCATTTCTACTTGTGGAGTTGTTTTGTTGGTTTTTTTTTTTAAAGAAAGAAAAACTGAAGGGAGTACAATTTACATTTTAATGAAAGCTTCTAATCTATAAGTCCTCCTCTTGCTCATGAGGCCTGGAGAAGCTGTGAGGGAGCTTGGAGGCTGAGCCTGTGGCTTTTGTGCCGCCCTTGGGCCCCACACTGGAGCCAGCCCAGGCCACATTCCCGAGTGTTCTCTACATTCCTTACACAGTTGTTACTAATTTAGAAGAGCTTGAGGTTTAAAAATCAGCCAGCACTTTCCATTTAAAACCCTAAGGTATACATTTTCAAATAAAAACTGTTGCAGCGAAATGAGACGTCTGTATGCTTAAGCCAGGCCACCCCAGCATTTGGACAGAACAGCTTGGGGTTTGGATACGTTCTTGCTCCGTTGGCATCTTTCACACACGGGTCTGGGAGCACTGGACTCGCATGCTTGGAACAAGCTTACTGAAATGTGGGCTAACCCTTTGAAAACTGTGACCCCTTTTGTCCCCATGAGTCCTCATTTGATGGAGCTAGTTCAGTCCACTGAATGAAGACCTGTGGCCTCAGGGAGGCCCATCCTCTGAAGCCCACAGGCTCTGCCCTGGGCCCCGTCTTGGGAGGTTCTCTGACTGGCTTCTAGAGGGGGCCTCATGTCCTTCTATGGGGCCTGGAGTGGCCAGTGGCTGGGTTTGGGTTTGCCACACACGGGCCTGCATCTGAGTTCAGCATCAGCCCAGGTGCTATTTCTGCATCAGGGCTGTGACAACAAGGAAAGCAATGTGTCTCAAAAACTGATCCTAGGAACTTGAAATCTAACTGTGGAGCTTAGTTTAATGGTGTCTCTCCTATCACCCAGCCCTGAGATCTGGGCTCACAAGGACAGACATTTTTCCAAGAACCGAGAAGATGGGGCCACTCACTCCTCTACCTACTGTGAACGTTCTGTTCAGATTCCCACAAGGCTTTGCTGTTGTTCTAATGACCTGAAGTCCAAGTCTAAACTCAGGTGTTGGTTCTGACATCCTAAAGACTCCCTAGGCCTGCTGTGAATGGTAGCCAGCAGCAGACAGTTCCAGAATGATTATCCTGCATGGCGAAAGCCAGCCCTGCCTAGAGATTTGTGAAATTCCACTGCATTTCCCTCTTTCGGACAGAATGCATTTGACTCAAAAATGGTGCAGCTCATCATGAAGCTGCCTTTTTGCAGAACATGCTCCCCAATCTCGTTACCCAGAACAGCCTGGCACCACGCTGGGGGACACGGACAGTTCGACGGGAGAGTGCACGCCGTTACTGGCGTGCAGGCCAGTGACATTCGGTGGTGAGAGTGAGGATGGACAGGCTGGGGGCGTCCGCTGTGGGGGGACAGCCCACAGGACTCAGTCTGAAAGACTTGAAGCTCAATGCCAATGCTCTAGAGAAAAGCAGCTACTTTACAGTGAGAAACCCGCAGACAGTAGCTCACCTCAGTCATCAGGGCCAGTCTCACCTTTGTGAGTCAGCTGGACTCTGGTCACAGGGACACTCCACAGAACAACGGGCCTTGAGGACAGACCAGGGGCGGCCTCAGGTTGGAGGGGACTGGGGAGGCAGGATGGCCATAGGCTGTAGGACTTGGGTGGATAAGCTGGTGAGATCAGAAGGAAGTTGTTCTGTAACATGTCAACACTGGGGAGTTAGTGCAGTGGCTTGGAGGCCATGTGGCGATGGAAAGCTCTAGAACAGCAGCACCAGTGAGCATATGAGGCCAGGGCGCCACAATGCCATGTGCTGGACAAGTGACTGGCACGTCGAAACTGAGACTTCAGAGAATGTGAGAGACACCTCAGGAAGGTTCCTTGCTTCTTCTCAGTCACTTCCTCTGTAACCATTTTTTCTCCCTGCAGGAGAAGTACCCAGAGGCTGTGCACCTCTCGGAGGGGGCCTCTGCCAGCTCCATGCAGATCCAGAGCACCAGCCAGCCCAGGTGAGTGCAGGTGCCCTGGGGGACCTGGGGCTGTCCCTGCCAGCCAAGTCTCTCCCCAGCAATCAGACAGTTGTTTCCTGATTATGAATAGAGGACGAAAGTAAATTACCTAAGTGACATCTTGAGAAATGTCTGTGATGTCATAACAGATATGCAGCCAATGGCAGGAAAGCAGGAGGGGGGCCTCGCTGAGGGAGGGAGCAGGGGAACATGGGGACAGTAACTGTCTGCACAGCCAGTGCTGGTCTCACTGTAGGCATCCTAAAGGGACCTGGGAGGGAGTCCAGGAAGAGGGAGCGATTTGATCAACTTATTTCAGAGAAGCTCGGAGGCAGTGAGCACAAGCACTCGTCTGGGTCTTTCGGCTGCCTGCGCATGGAGAGAGTACCTCGTGTGGTGGGCGTGGTGACGGCACACGAGTGCCTGAAAATGGTGCCGTGGCTTAGTAGGCTTCTGGGGCTTGGCTTGTCATAATAAATCAGTTTGCACACGTCCCCTCTGGTACATAGAGCTGTAGCTCATTCATTTTCAGTGCTTAGACTCCACTGGGTGAATGTGTGTATTTCTGCGTTCTTCAGGGCATGAGCACTTGGACTACTTGTCCTGTGCCACTGTTTCGACCCTTCCTGTTCATGTCCCCAGCACACAAGGGCACAGCTTCTCTTGGGGCACATACCTAGAAACGCAGTCCATGAGTCACAGGGTATATTCAGCTGTCACTGCCGAGTTGTTTTCGAAGTAGTTTATCAATTAGTATCATTTTAAGTTCCTGTTGCTCTACGACCGTACTTCACATGTGCAGTCACACTGACACTGGTGGGTACAAGAGAGTATCTCCTGTTGCTTCGTTTGTTTTCCTCTTTGCGATGTCTAATGTACCATTTGTCCTCTCATCCGTGGGTGACGTCCTCCTCCTTCCGCAGTGTCTAAGGCACTTAGTCATGGATCGTAACTCTTTCAGGTTTGAAATAGTGATCATTTGGAGGATACAGACAGATGAAGAAGGGAAGGTTCTGCCGAAGCTGGATCTTCTCACCAAAGTGCCACATCAAGGTAAGCCCCCCCCCCGCCCCGCCCCGTAGGTGTTCCAGTGACATGTGCCCGACAGACAGACACACCTACTTATGTCATCTGGTCTTACAGGGCAATAATCAGAAGTTGAAATCTCATTATTGTACATTTTATATTAGTTTTTAAAGTATTTTTATCACTGATCGCTCAAAGAGCACATGTGGGGGCATTACGGCCCCAAGGCCCTCCTAGGCGGGATGCACGGGGGTGGCCTGTCTGCCTCTGGCCCACAGGTGAGTGCTGCCCTTCCGGTCCCCACACAGTCCCCTCGGGGCAGCCAGTCGGGGAGGGCAGAGGAAACCCAGGGATGTCTCTAAGCCAGTTTGTTTTCTTTACAGCCCTGGAGCTGGACAAGAAGGGAGTCGTAGAAATGGCTGCTGTCAGCTTCCGAGCCCTGCTGGGCGTGCTGGGCATTGAGGCCGCTCTAGAAAGCCTGATTAAAGTGCTCTGCACGGAGTATGGCGGCCAGTCCCCACCGTGAGCTCAGGAGTCAGGCCTGCAGCAGGTGTGGGCTTTCATTGATTCATTGATTCAACATTTGCCATTTTCCACTTAGAAGCCATACCTTTAGAACATGTTGTCTGAGCAGTTGGCACATTATATCTAAACTGTCAGGACATGAAAAATAAATACAGCTATTTAAATGCAAAGTAAGTGATGTGGAATGTATTTTTTAAGAAGAAAGTTAACATTTGCGCATGTCCAGGAGTGGGTGTGTGCCCCCAGCCCCACCCAACTCCCAGTCTGAGGTCGGAGGCGGCCGCCCACCACCTGGGGCTCTTGGAGCCTCGTTTCATGGACACTCATCAGATCCCCGGGAGATGCACCCCTGCCTCACAGCCTGCAGAAACCACCAGAAAGAAAGCAGCACGTTGGAGGCATTCACAGCGCCTCTCAGGACGTCCTCTGCTGTTCACCCTTTGTGATCACACAAAAAAAGTGTAACAGGAGCTTAAAAAATTGCAGTGAAAGGGAAGACTGCACTGCCCATCGCATGGGACTCGGACCCCGGCCTCTGTACAGGAGAAACGGGGTTAGTCCTCAGTGCTGCACTGACCTCAGGCACCCACTGGAAATGTTATCACTGCTGATAACACTGCGTCTGTGGAATGAACACCAGAGGCTGGGGAGAGGCTGTGGTGAGCACAGCACAGGGCTACACCCAGACTGCCTGGCAGGGGCACCCAACTAGCGCCTCTTCCCCCAGATTTCAAACTGTCCAGCCAGGACAGCCCCAGAGTGCTGCCCAGCCCGCCTTCTCGAGGGGCCGGGGTACCAGAGCTCCGCGCACAGGGACCCAGGGGCCTCTGTACATGGCAGTGCTGGGCCAGACCCACCCGAGACCAGCCTCAAGAAACACCCTCCAGCCAAACCAACACATCCCTCCCCATGCTTCAGTCTGTGACTTGCCCACAAGAACACAGCTCCACGCGTCCCTGTAGGTGGAGCCTCCAAAGCCCCCAGACCTCAACACATTCATATAGACGAGGTGTGTGTCATTTCAGTAGCTTTTTGACCCCCCGGGTATAGACGTAAGAAGTAAATGTTAGGGCACAAGTGAAGAATAAATTCTAGAAGAGCTGGCTTGATTCAAACAAGTGTAATTCTCAAGTTATCGCAAAATTCCCCACAGAAATGTACAATCAGCAAAATAGTTTCATTTTTCATGTAGCATTTTCATATAATTCCATGGTTTCACTAATAATATGTTACAATAAGCCTTCATTAATCCCTCAAAATGATGATATAAATAACCAATCTGTACAACCTACCATAGAATAAAAAAACTGAAGCCAAGATCCCCAGCAGTTTTCATAGCAGCCAGGCACACCTTTGGTGACCCCGCGGTGCCAGCCAGGAGTCGCGCGTCGTGCAGAGGCCAGGCCTGGGGCAGCCCTGACAGGAGGTGGCCCAGCACCACTCAAGGCTGCAAACACCACACGTCTCAGTGAGACCAGGGGAGCAACAGGTACAGGGAGGCAAGTAACAGTCTGGCTCTGGCAGAACTGGCTGAGGTTCCCCAAACACCCCAGAATGCCAGGAACACAGAACTAGAAGGAACACAGCTGCCGTGACACCTGCCCTGAGCCCAGCAGCTCAGTGTCACAGCTGCTGCCAGCTTCCAAGCAGCAATTTTGGGTGGGAAAGAATGCCTAGTCTCCCCTAAAGTTAGAGATAAAATCATTCAGCAAAAAAACAGAACAAAAGAATGGAAGTCAACGCTCGAACGAGTGGTGTTCACCCCTGACCTGAGTCCGGCCATCCCTGCTGAGCCTGTGCAGAATGGGGGGCTTGGCACCTCTCCAGGGAACTGAGTCACACTGCTCAGAAGTGACATCTTCACCAACACCCATCGCTCTGTAGCAGGGAACCACCAAGCCTGTGCTGATGTGTGGCTTCATTAAAAAAGTGACCAAGTAACTCAGCCGGGAAAGTTCCAGTAGTATCCATGTTTTCTTAAAAGTCCAAACTAACATGTATGTGACGATTCAAGTTTTCCATGCTAGGAGCATGGTGGTAGGAGATCCAACGCTCAGGTCTTATGATAAGGCTTTTTGCATTAGAGAGTGGACATGAGCCCTGGGAGGGAGGGAGAGCCGCCCCCCACAGGGCTCACGTGACATTCCTTGTCCCGGGAGATGTTCCTCGTGCTCTTCCATTCTGTGTCTCCCAGATGCAGTCCCACCTGAACAGTGGTTAAAAAGTGAAAACATTCACAACAAAACTCACCCAACACAAGAGAAAATAGCTCTATCATTCACCCTTCACATTCCATGTTCAAGTTTCAAAGTCACCACAGGGAAAACCTAGACCTTATGGAGAACCAATGTGCAGTCTTCGCTTTCCTTGAACCTGGTCGGCGCCCTGGCGGCATCGGTGGTGTGCACAGTCTTTGAGTAGTAGTTGACTATCTTGCTATCCAGTTTGTACTGATGAGGGATGCTCTCGTAGGGCTTAAGGTCAAGGTCCAGCACAGACACGGAGAAGGCAAACCTGGACCTCGACGATGGAACGATGGGCCTTTGATCGGAGCTGGAAGTAGAAAAGCAATTTCAGACCCCCAGGTGCTGTCATCGCCACTTACAGAGAGTGTCCACACACCCTTGTCTATGTAATGCTCGGAGATTCTGTGGTGACACCTGCCACCCCACCTGATGAGAGGGGCTTAAAGTGCCGAAAGGTGAGAAAGCAATTATGCACAATATGCGATCACTATTCTCTACAGCCCAGTGATGTACGTGAATGCTAAAGAGGTGATTTTATCATGGGCTGAGCATTACAGAACCTAAGGAAAAGCACAGAGTAGGTCTGGCCATTCACAGCCAAATGGACAAAGTGCCGAGACAGACTCCTGTCTACGACTCCCCATGTCTGTGAGACCCGTGCTCCTCTACTTTCTCACATGGAGACAGAGCTGGTTTCGTACTTTATTCTCAAATCGTATCTGCAGTGTTTTATATTTTGTTCCTTAGGGCTTAGTTTAGTGGTTTCTCTAAACATCAGAATAGTCATATGCTTAGAACAAAACATGAACAACTACTTGTATTTAAAAGCACTTGCAGACTAATTCTGAATTTTGTGCTAAGAGTGCTGCAGCTCACTGAGCTGTGTGTGCTCGGTGTGCAGTCTGCAACCCAGGCGACTGGTTGCAGGCATTAGACGAGTGCAGTGTGGCTGCAGGAACGAGTCCGGAGTCCTGGTTTTCTCATGCTCACTACTATTTAGTAGTAAGAAATCATTTAAAAAAAAAATCAAACGAACAACACACCAATTTCCAAAGTCCCTGCCTGGGAAGAGAAGGCTGCAAAACATTGTCCTGCCTCTGATGAAGCTCATCGAGGCCTAGACTCTAGCTACATTCTTGCTCCAAAATCCAGCTGACAGGAAGAACGAGTCTGGGCCTTATTGATGGGCTCTTAGCTACTCCCTCCTGAACCACAGAGAGCACATTTGCTTTGGAGTCTCCTCTCTGGGCCTAAACCCTGAGCTCCCTGAAGCTGGGCTTGGGACTGTCCACGTCTCCAGCCCTCGACAGGGCTACACATTTTAAAGGACACCTCAATCTCTCACTTGAGAACAGCACCCAACAAGATGATGTGAACCCACACAGAGGCTGGTGGGCCGCCCCTACCACAAATCTGACCATTTGTCGACCACAGCCCCGCCGTGAGCCCAGGGTGTGGCCCTGACACCTAAATGCTTTGCCACCCTGGGGCAGAGACAGGTGCCCATGTGGCTCAGAACGTTTTGGACACGTGTTCCCGCCCCTCTCCCAACGTGTCAGTTTCTACTGAGGGTCTCAGGGCCCCAGGGCCCCAGCTAGCTCCTTATGTTTCCGTAGCCTGACTGTGTCCTGGCCTCAGGCAGGGTGGCAGATGATGACATCTGTGTGGTTTCCTCTCATCCAACACTAGCTTAATCGAGCGAGCAGATTTTGCTTCAGGGATAACAGGCGTTTCCAACGAAATAGAACAATCTTTTTTGTATTTTAGTTATACCCTATAAGTGTCCCTGCATGGCTCCTATCAGAAAATGGACAATTCTGTGCCTGCCAGGGAGCAGAATTCCTGGGAATGTGTCATTCAAAAACATCAGAAAAACAGTTCACTGGCAACCAGTGACAAGGTCATCTTGACCCAGGAACATCTGCCAGAAGGATGGAGAACATTCCACAAATACTGTGTGTGAGGTTCTGCATCCTGCAGATCAGTGCTGAGAATGCCATCTAATTACTAAGATTACCAGGTTCAGCCCGAATTCCTAAAAGCAGTAGGGATGACAGCGGTGTCTAGGGAGAGAGGCTGCAAGCAGGAAGCAGAACAGGCAGGTGCTGTTTGAAAGACTTTGAAATGGCTGGAGGCCGGCACATCAGGCCTGGCAGAGGGCAGGAGAAGGCCCACAGGAACCTAGTTCTCAGGCCCCCCGCCCGGACAGAAGCTTAGGGCTGGGAGAAAAAGGGGTGTGCACCACAGGGTCCAAAGTGCTTCTGAGTCCCTAGGGTATTTTCTTACAAATGAAAGTAATCTTCAATTTACTAGGACAATCTTTTAAAACTATTCTCCATAAATGGCTTTTTTACTCAATTACAAGCATCTAGAGAGCAAGAGTGAGTAAGTAAGCGGCATGACATCAAGCAGCCTGGGGATCAGCCTATGTTAATGAAACGAATCCTGCCTGGGGTTCTGAAGGTGGGGAAACCCTGTCAGATCAAAGGCATAGGACACAGCAGTAGCGCCTCACCTTGCATCCTGCAGACAGGGGGACAGGGCGATCATGATGGAGCAGTCCTTCGCAGTCATGGCGACCCGATACTGCTGCACCTGTAAAAGGGGGATGGGTGAGGTCGGGGACCTGTCACAGGGCCTGAAGTAGGTCAGGAAGCTGCAGGTCCAGAGGCTAACCTGCCCACTGATCTCGCTGCAAGCAGACTGTGGGCCCAACCCCAAGCCCTGGGACTCGGCTCTGTCTTCAGTGAGGCAACCGCAGTCGCCTTAGGAAAGGAGCAGTAAGATGCCTCGGCTGCTGCTGTGCAGCACTGAGCGAACATCACTCCACACCTCAACATGGCGGCACACAGCTGTCCCCCAGGGCCCTGCTCAGAGCAACAGAACGTACCTCAGGTCACATGCCACACCAGAATGTCATGCAGCCTCCTAGAATGACGCCGCAGACAGAGGGGTCACTGAGCTGTGTGTTAAGTCACTTCATCCCCACAGTGACCCCACAGGCAAGCACTACTAGTGTCCTGGCTTACGGATGAGGAAATAGACACAGAACAACCTGTCCACTCTGCACGGCCAGGTGACAACAGGGCAGGATTCACAGCCAGGTATCTGGGCTCTGAAACTAATGCCGTTAACGCCAGTCTCCGAGCACAGGCAGATGGGTACCTGCAGGCCTGGGATGACCCCACCAGGGCTGTCACCTCACACTGCGTGGTCTGCAGGGCCTCACGTACAAGGCTGTGTGTGTGCTCACATACGTGTCAGAAGGGGAGGACGCTGGGCACTTCTCCCCTTCTGCTTCATATATCGGCTGACTTTTTTTAATTGAATAGCTCTCACTTTTACAAAAATGAACTAGTTCCTAAAAAGGAAGTGGGCCTTACATGTTATCACTGGCCTCAACATTTGTGTGATATCTCCCCTACATGTCACTCAGCCAGGAGGACCCACCCTGAGAAAATAGCCAACCTTTGCCTTCCACAAGGCAGGACCGTACAAGAAGGACTGGGGAGGCCCCCAAGTGTGTGTACTCCAGGCCTACTGACTGCTCTTCTCTAGGTAAGAAATCAGATATTTCACAAAATACGCAAAGCTCAGTCCAAAAAAACTAAAGAGGTAAATATAAAAAAGTGTAAAATATTTACTTTGTCCTAATCAAAACCCGGAAGCCATAAAAGACTGAAAGATTTGAGTACCTTAAAACTAAAATCTTTTTTTATATAACATAGTCATAATTCAAATGTAAAAGGCCTGTGAAAGAATGGGAGAAAATGTTTGAAACATGTAAGAGATCATCAACATCAAGAATATATAAAGTGCTAGATCAATATGGAAAAAGAAAAGTACTCAAAAGATATGGACCAAACAAATAGCCCAAAGGAAAAAAATAGCCAATAAAGATATGAAAAGATGCTCAACCTTACTAGTAATAAAGGAAACTGAGATCAGATGGGTTCACCTGTGATTCTACACAATATTTAAGAAAGAAATAATATGTCTTCACCTCTTCCAGAGAAAAGAAAATGAGGAAACACTCTTCAAATATTTTATGACGGGCATACCCTTGATACCAAGACCTACCAGAGACATTACAAAAACCTTATATCACTCACAAACATATATATAAAAAAAAAACCCTAAGCAAAATATTAGCAAACCAAATATCATAATATATAAAAAAAGATACAAATTATACAATTAACCACATTAACAAAAAATAAGATGTGTTCATCTCAATATCACATATTTAATATATGCAGTTAAGCAATTATCTGAGAATAAATCTAATAAGATAAAAGACCTCTCTAAAAACAATCATAAAATGTTTTTATCAGATCTTAAATAACACCTAAAAAAATAGCAAATGCCTATGGTGGAAGGCTCAATATTGTATCGATGTCCACTCAGGCATCATTTTAATGCCAAACCAATCAAAATCCCAATAGTTTTGTTGCTGCTTTTTGTGAAACTGAACAAGTTGATTCTAAGGTTTATGTAGACAAGCAAAAGGTCAAGAAGAGCCAAGGCATTTATCAAAGGAGAGACATTCTTGAAGAAGAAAGTAGAAGGATTTGCTCCACTTGGTATCAAGACTTATGACTCTTTATCGCGATCAAGACAATTCCTATGATTCTTGGACAATTCCATATGAAAATAAAATAAAGCCCTACATCATGCCATACTAAATCAATTGCAGATGGTTACCCACCAAATATGAGAGGCAAAACAATAAGGTTTCCAAAATATCTGTAGGTCTTTAAGTAAAATAAAAGGTAGAGAAAGACTTGAAAGGAAAAATGATACAAATCAAACTACCTTAAAATTATGAACTTACCTTCTTAGGAGGACTCCATTAAGAGGTAAAACAGCAAGCTATAGGCTCTCTGTAGCACATACATCTGACAGTGGGCTTCTATCCAAATACATAAAGAATTCCTTCAAATCAATAAGAAAATGACAGACAACCCTACAAAACACTGGGCAAGAGACTTAAATAGGTACATCACAAAAAAGAAAACACAAATGGCCAATAAACTTATGAAAAGGTGCTTACTCTCATTACCACAACAAGCCACCACTGCACACTCACCAGAATGGCTAAAGTTAAAAAGGCCCACAGCCAAGTGATACACAGGTTGTGGGCAACGGGAGCTCCCCTGGCCTGTTGGTAGGGAATGGAAACAGGAGGCCTGTTCTGCAGAGTCTACTAAACCTCAACCCGCTCATCCCACTGGCCTAGAAATGCCACTGCTAGGAATGTATCCAAGAGACATGCGTGCACATATACACCAACAGATCTGTGTAAGAATGTCCACAGAAGCTTTATTCCTATCAGCCCCAAACTGGGAACAACCCAAATGGCCACCAACAATAGAATGGATGCACTGTAGTAGATCCACTCAATGGATCTACCATAAAGCGGTGCAAATATGGAAATGCATGCAGTAACGTGAGTGCCTCTCCTAAGTGTCATATGCAGCTAACGGAAAGACACGAGAGCTGTACACATGACTCCGTATATAAAGTACAAAAACAACAATCTAGACTGTAAGGATACAAGTCAATACAATAGTTAACCATAGAGAGAAAGGAAAGGAATAACGAGACATGAAACCAACAGGGGTTCTGGTCGGCCACCAGTGTTCTATATCGGGACCTGATAGTTCCACAAGGGACCTCTTTGTGACAAATCATTGAACTGTCCATTTTTTTCTGTGCTCTGTGCTGTGTGCTATGTTTTACAATACAAATGGTTAATGAAACCAAAAGCTTAGAAACTTAAAAATTTGAATACTAGCAATATCTAGTGTTTTTGAGGGCATGAAGGAAACAAGGGCCCTCAATTTTTGCAACAAGGAATATGAACTGGCAAAATCTTTTGGGGAAGGCAATATGACAGAATCTATCAAAAATAAATATAGGAAGTACAAAATTGTGAATGTCAACATTATCTTTAACAGTAACAAATTCAAACAACATCCAAATAAATGACAATGATATATGAGGTGTGACAATTAAGTTCGCGAACTTGTTACAATGACGTTGCTAACCTTTTTTGATATCAGAGGGATTATTCATTATGAAGCTGTAATAACTGGACAAACAGTTAACCAAGTTTACTATTTGGAAATGCTGAAAAGGCTGCGTGAAAAAGTTCGATGACCTGAACTTTTTGCCAACAATTCATGGCTCTTGCATCACGACACTGCACCACCAGCTCACACGGCACTGTCTGTGAGGGAGTTTTTAGCCAGTAAACAACTATATTGGAACACCCTCCCTACTCACCTGATCTGGCCCCCAGTGACTTCTTTCTTTACCCAAAGATAAAGGAAATATTGAAAGGAAGACATTTGGATGACATTCAAGACATCTAGAGTAATACGATGACAGCTCTGATGTCCATTCCAGAACTCTTTGGAAAAAGAGTTCCAAAATTGTTTTGAAGGGTGGACTAGGCACTGGCGTTGGTGCATAGATTCCCAAGGGGAGTACTTCGAAGGTGACTGTAGTGATATTCAGCAATGAGGTATGCAGTACTTTTTCTAGGATGAGTTTGCAAACTTAATTGCCCGACCTTGCACATACTAAAGAGAAAAACACAAATCCACAAAGACAGAAAGCACAACATACACCAAGCAGGATAAATAAATAGTACACCACACCTAATCACACTGCACTAAAATGTCAAATAAGAGAAATGTCAAATAAGAGAGAAGACCTTAAAAGCAGCCATAGAGAAAAAAATGTCACCTCCTGAGAAAGGACAGGTAGACTAATAGAAGACATCTCAGCAGCAACATCCAGTCTGATTATGTTACATAAAATGGTTAAATGTTAGGAGAAAAACGAACAAAGAACCCCTTTGTACCTAGAAAAAAACGCCTTTTAAGACTGTGGACAATAAACATATACAGATAAACAAAGAATTTACCAAAATACTTTCACTAATGTAACTTCTAAAGGATATACTTCAAGAAAAAGAAGAAAAAAATTAGAAACAATTATAGGCTAATAAATTTAAAAACTTAAGATGAAATGGACAAATTCCTAAAAGACACAAAGTACCAAAATTGACTCATGAAAAAAGAGACAATATGATTAGACCTATGACAAGTGAAGAGATTGAGTTGGGCATCAAAACACTACTTAGAAAGAAAAGCCCAAACTCAGATGGCTTCACCAGTGAATTCTATCAAATATTTAAAGAAGAATTAACATCACCACTCCTCAAACCCTTCCAAAAATAAAAGAGGCTGGATTACGGTCCCAACTCATCTGACAAGGCCAGTATTACCTGATACCAAAAACAAGTATTATTTGATACCCAAAACAAAAAAGATATCACAAAAAACAAAAACTGTAGGCCAGTATCTCTTATGAATATATAGACACAAAAATCCTCAACAAAATAATAGCAAATTTAATGCAGCAACATGTAAGAAGAATTATATGCGTGACCAAGTGGAATTTATCCCAGGAATGCAAGGTTGGTTTTACTATCCAAAAATAAATTAATGCACTATACTGTATCTATATATAAAAAACCAAAACTACACAATAATCTCAACTGATACAGAAGAGACATTTGACAA